AAAGAAAGAAAGAAAGAAAGAAAGAAAGAAAGAAAGAAAGAAAGAAAGAAAGAAAGAAAGAAAGAAAGCTCTTTGTGCCTTGCTTGCTGTTTTTTCTCCAAAACCATCTGGTTGATGGCTGTAGAAAACTGGGTGCTAGGATGACAGGCTGCTGACTGAGACAAACACATCCCCATCAAGTCCACGCCGGCTGTAGCCATTTACTTGTAGCTGGTTCCTGGGAACAAAGCCAACCTGTACTGGTTCACTGAAGCTGAACCCAGAGAAAACAGCTGCATAAAACATGAGTTGCCCAACAGTCACTTCACCCTAAAGAACCCTTGAAAGGGTGGACAGAAGAACGTTGCATTTTAAAGCATCTCTCGTAATACAAAAGGTCTTCTATCATTTGCATTCTGCCTGCCTGTCATCTCTGGACCTGCTTCGGGGTGCATGATATCCAGCTGAGAATTCCCACAGCCTTCATTTCCAAAATCCTTGGATATGGCCATCGGAGCCCTTTCAAAAGTTACTGCTGAACTCGGATTTTTGAATACAGTGGGTTAGAAACCTCTAATGCAAAGGAAAATGAAACAAAATAACTATAATCCATTCTTTTAATTTTAGACAGATTCAATTGTTTTCGTCCTGATTCAACTTTTTTTTGTGTGTGTGCAAATCCTAAAGCCAATTGTAGGTTGAAAGATGTTGTGCACTTAAGACCTACAGGAAAAAAATAAAGGAGTGTCCACGATGGGCCAGGCAAAGAATGTCATGCACATTTTCTCATCATTGTGCAAATGATGTACAGCATGTCATTGTGTCAATCTAAAAAATTACAAACTATATGTCATTTGCATGGCATCACAATATTGTACATGCTATGTTACTATGCCTAATAACAAATGCCTATGGATACATGTTAATAAAAGTTTGCATGATATCTCCACATTATCTAGATCCACAAAACATACTAAGGAAAAAGCTATAACTTTCAAATCACAATAGCAATGTGCTAAGCCAAGCCATCTACTAGGAGTAGTCGGTTGCTGGGTTAGAGAGTGGAATAACAAGAAGTTAGTCTGGACTGGGTTAGAGATTGGAATAACATCAACGGCCTAACAATTTGTACATCCTAAGAGAGCAGTTTCCAAAGAGTATAGAAATCCATGGACTCTAGATGCAATTCTGATACCACAACATATTGAAGATACAAATGAAGCACTTATGGAGTTGGTTCAGAAAGTCAGGGTTTGATTCTGATTTGCAAAGCATGTACAGGATAGGTTCACACATTATGTTAACCTGCAATGTGTTTAGATTAATTTCAATTTAATGTTTTGTCTGAACCCTGTATAAAACTGTATAGCAATGACTACGAATATTAAAAAAATGGCTTACACCGAATCAATGACTAACCCAATGGTGAATATTCTGGCCCATGAGCATACAAGGATGTCACATGCATAGTGCTATCATCATCACATAAACCAAGTTAAATGAATTTTGCCCATGTTATTTTTATGGATAAGATGATATTGTGGTTTTCAATGATCATTATTGTATTCTTGACTAGCAAGAGCTCTGCCCAATTCATGCCAACTCTATCTGGAAACAATGGGTATTGAACCCAGGTCCATCAATAGGCAAAATACATTTTCAACCACTCAGTTATTGTGCAATCAACCTAGTGATTTTTTTTCCCCAATGGACATTCAAGTGTATGGTTATAAAGTACTAACTGAAGATTCCACCTCCATGGACGCATTCAGGGATGGTGGTAACAGCACCCACACTACAAATAAACTGGGAAGATCATGCATTCCATGTGCTAAGATGGAATGATGGGAAATGCCTATGTTGGAACTTTATCAAACATAATTACCCTACGAGAACACTAATTCTCACAATTTGTACGGTGGGTGAGCTAATCATCTCTACTTTCCTCAAAGCGACAACCAAAGCTATGCCCCACATGCTCCTGTATGAAATTAGATTTTCACTATGTTCTCTTTTGAGTTAGCCTGTTACAAAAATAAAACTGGAAAGTAGAAACATGATCCTAACGAAGCAGTAAAGAAGTTTTATGTCAACTTTTATGCCATAAGAATAGCAATCTGCTGTAACAGTAGACCTGTTTATTGCTCTTGTGAGCTTATTATAAATTTCTTTTCAGGGCATCAGTACAAAATGACCGATGTGATGCCTTTCTAATCTGCATTTTTTTAAAACAGCAAAAGCAAAAACCACTTTGGCAAACCCTCGAGCACCACATTAAAATTTCCTGTAAAGAGAAAGATCACTTTTCCTCATCCTCTTCAACCACAGCTTCCTGAATCGCTTCTCATAAAAGCTAAAAACAGCTCCAGCACCTGCAGCTTCAAAAAGACAATCCCATTTTTTTTACCTTTCCCCTCCCCTGTGCTAGTTTTCTCTTACGCTGAACTTCACTGGAGATCTTCAGCTGGAGATCAGCTAAAAGAAACCACCCCAGGCTAAGATCTACAGGCCCCGAGCAGCTTATAATATAAAATTCAATGAAAGGAGAAAATGGAAGATCAGGGATAAAGCTCACCAAAATGGGCAGCTTTCTCATGCACTCTTTCCTTCACTTGTGGAATCCCCTTGGCTTCTGATGACTAGCAAACAGTCTCCGAGAGTCTCCTTGTGGTTGTGTGGCTTTGTTGTTGTTTTTTAAATACAGGTAGTCCTCAACTTACGACCGCAATTGAGTCCGACATTTATGTTGCTGAGTGAAACGTGTAAGTGAATTTTGCCCCATTTTACGGCCTACCTTGCCTCAGTCGTTAAGTGAATCATTGCAGCTGTTATGTTAATAACACGGCTGTTAAATGAATCTGGCTTCCTGGGTTATTTTGCTGGTCAGAAGGTCACAAAAGGGGATCACAATATGCCCCGGGATACCGCAACCATCATAAATATGAACTACTAGTTGATCTGCATCCAAATTTTGATCATGTGACCATGGGGATGCTGCAACAAATGGTTGAAGTGTGAAAAATTGTCCTAAGTCACTTTTTTTCAGTGAGGTTGTAACTTTGAACGGTCATTAAACGAACTGTTGTCAGTGGAAGACTATCTGTATTCTCTTGAGAATGTCCATGGTTACCCAGTTTCATTTCTTCCCCCTTCGGTTCCTGGTCAAAATTTGGATTTCTGAGCCACCAAATCAACCAATCAATCAAAACAGGGCGGGGCTGAGAGACCGGTCAGCTCCCTTCCTCCCCCTGTCTCTCCCCCTTCTTCCCCCCCCTTCCCCTCCCTCCCCTCTCTCTCTCTCCCTCCCTCCCCCCACTCTCTCAGAGCCCAAACGGGCTATTTATTCCTGCATCGTGGTGACCTTCTGTCATTGGCCACGCCAGCCACGGAGTTTGTCCAACTCCGTTGGAGGCCGGGGAGGAGGAAGAGGTGGAAGAAGAGGAAGGGGCGCCCCCCGCCGCCTGCCACCGTCCCGGCGAAGAGATTTAAAGTTTGAGCTGCAGGAAGGGAAGCTTCCTCCGGCCGCCCAAGCCCCGTCCGGGCGTCTCTTATTAAGGTGTTTCTCTCCCCCTTTCTCCCCCCCCCCCCCCCCCCCCCCCCCCCCCCCCCCCCCCCCCCCC